TACAAGTGTGATAAGGATGAGTCACATATGCCAGAGTACAAAGAATTGCAATAATCAATTGGGGACAACATAAGTGCACAAACAAATCCTCAAGACATGTTCTTGTCTTTTTGGTGCTGAAGTTGTAGACTGCCATCGTGTCTGCAAATGCTACTGGTTCAATAAAGCAATCAAAAAGGGAAAAGCCACAGCAGATAAGAAAAGGCACAGGTGGATCCAATAACTTTAATGATGCCTCCCTTCCATTGACCTGTGACAGTGTGTTGGCATACACAACATCAGGGCCCTGAAACTGGGAATGGAGCTTTAATTAATATTATTGACTACACCTGCACTTTTTCTGTTAGGCATTACATGTCGAAATGTCTGCCATGAAAAAGAATAACAAAAAACATCCACAGCTTAATGGCTATTGGGATAAAGGACATTCACAGCTACAAATTAAAGCTATTTATTGCAGGCATTCTAAAACCACAGGTTGTACAAAGTGTTAGACTTGTGATGGTCAGGAAAATAAGTTAAACAACAAAAACATTGCATTTTCTCATTGCTTCACTCAGCAGGAAATGGACATCTTTTTAATTTTTATTTATCATGTAAGTGAAAAGCAGCTTTTTTTTTTTCATCACAACTTTCACAGAATGCTATTTATTATGAAGTACAATATTCTTCAGCAATGTACTTTATAGATAAGTAATAGCCTGTGACCAAACTCCCGCTGTGTGAACATTAAAATATTGAATTGATTGGAAACCATGGAGACACTCATGTAAATGTTTAATGGTTGGCAGGGAATGAGACTTGAAACACTGCTGCATTGGCTGAGCTGCACGGTTTTTGAAAAGGAAGAGTATGCCAAATAGTTGATGTTCAGAATGGATCAGTTTGGGGTATTCAAGATGTGATTGTCTCTGACAGCACCACACAAAAGGGAAGACATCATAGTACAAAAAAATAAGTTAATGTGTGTGTGTCTACACGTGTATGTGTGGGATGTTATGTGATGTGAACCCCTGCTGCTGTGTAACCCCACTGTGTGAGATCTGACAGCTCCCACTGCTGTCTCTATGACAAGATGAAAGAGTTGCTATGTGTGTGTGACTCAGATAGTGGAAAGGAGAAGGAAGTGGCCAGAAGGAAGGAGAGAACCCATAGCTTATTCACACAAAATGAATAATAAATGCATTAACTCGAGTAAATGTCTCTTTGTGAGCATGTCGGCGTGTGCATGAAAAGCTAGACTTCCCACATCCTTTTGAAACCCACAACAAGCAACAATTTGCCTGATGGTATCTGCTGGGCTGACCATTATAAAGTCGAGTAAAATCTCAAATTTGAACTCATCAATAGTCTTCGGTGTAATTAATCCCTCAGCGCTGTCTTCAGACGAGCAATTGCATCATGGAAAACTTCTAACTTCTTTCTCCAGACATGGAAATCAGCATAAATACACAGTGAGACTTATGTACTTTACGAGAACAGTTGTAGGTATATTTCCCATTTTTAAGTAAACAAAATTCAACAAACCTTAAAAAGCTATTACTATTGCACTTTGCAGTTATAGGTCGTCTTTGTTGTTTGGTTTGGAGCAATCCAAGCATAAAAAAATCTGCCTGCAAACGTACAATTTACCATGACATCTGTGAGATGGTTCCTACTCTCAGAGAACTTTGATGTACTGGTAGCGTTTGCAAGCCATTTACCCACTCTGGCTATAAAAAAACGACTTCCATCAAACAGCAGGTAGAGAGTACATGAAGTAGACGTATCAAAAACAACCGGACTCCACCATTAGTGTACTTAAAGTTTTAAGGACTTACAAGGATCCCCATCACTGCAGCCTGGGGAAACATGAAGGCAGATTTTGTGAATGGAAAGTTATTTCACAGCCTCAATGGGCAGATAAAGATTGGGTGTACCTCCTTTTGATTTACTGTGTAACTCAGCTGTGTCAAATTAAGTTTTGAAAAATAATTGTTCACATATAACATCATGCAATACAATATACAATTAGTTACACTTAACCTTCTACATAAGAGGCAGTAAAATGTATTGCTCTGGATCTGTATATGTATATAACTGCCTAGCCAAAACAAACACTGATTTTATATTTACCCTTTGTCATTCAGATTAGAGCTGGGTTCAGGAACAGATTTAGATATACATATATATACAATAATATATATATGTGCAGTTTGTGTCAAAACCAAAACCTGGAAATGTGCTACATGCCCATTATGTCTCCAGTCTGAAAAATTGCATGAGGATTTCTCAAAGTAAAGAGTTTTTACCAAACCTCTTCAGAATAACTTTTTGGCAGTGCCTGTGTACACAGAGCAGAGAAGCGGCACAATAGAAGACTGCAGGAAGAACAGCGATGCAGGCTGAAAATCATTACATTTTACTCTCCTGAGACAGCTGTAATTGCAGCTTGCTACCTTACTGGCACACATCTAGACAGAGAATATTGAGATAGCGCCTACAAAGTGTCACAATCTCCCATTTAAAATGGTGCACGCTGTTTTGCAATAATGTTCACTGTGCATTACACAACTGAAACGGTAAGTTAGGGCGATGGCTTATGTTTTGGGTGAACTACTGCTGAAAATGATTTCAACTGCCTGCTGTAGAGCAAGCATTGCAGGATTTGAGGGGAACAATGTAGATGCTAAGGATTATTGATCATGATAAACAAATTTGGGGAGATGCGGAGGTTTTTCTACTTCATTTGATGAAGAAAGAAAAAAGCCTACCCCCCATTTTACTATAACTCTCACTCAAAAGAGCTTAAAATTAAAATGATGTATTTACACTTTACAGTGTAAGAAAAGGAAGAGACTTTGCATATCCAAGTTTTTGGATCCACACTAAGAAAGTGGACAACTGTTCATTCTTAATGTGGCATGCCATGTCATATCCGCTTAAGTAAAAATCTGTTTACTTTGAAGTGAGGCTCGACTTTGCACACAGAACAACATTTTAGTGATGCATGACTGTTCTCCTTCGGAGCCTGTGGATGACTCATGCTTCTGAGTGAATACCAGGACATACAGCTGAGGGCAATGTGTGTCTCGAAAACACATCAAATGAAAAATCAGACAGACGTTTTCATCACTTTGTTACACTAAATTAAATCAATCTTGCACGCACGCACACACACACACACACACCCCAACTGTAAATGTGTGTGTTTGAAAGCCCTTTGAATTAAAGTGCAGTCCACACTGCAAGTTACATAGTAAGTAAATATTTATGATGTTCTATTGCACCTAACATTGGCCATTTTTAGGCAACCTGGTAATGTTGAATCTTGTCAAGGGAAGTTAGGTTAACTTTGTTTCAGAGGTGCATTTGAATATTATTGTGTTACACAGAGGTGTTTCTTATATTTTGGCCAGCCCATTTCTATCAATGACAGTAGACTAAGCTTTAGCAATACCTCTCGGTAAGCTATACAATTCAACATTTTAAAGTCTATAACCTTAAATAAATTAGGATTTACTTCAAGGTCATTACATTATCAGACCATTAGTCTCAGCTAGGTGTACCTAATAAACTGGTATCTTAATGGAAAAATCCTACAAGGCTTCTGCTCCCATCACAGCCATTTATAACGGACTGACAAATGAGCAACAAATACAAAAAGGACAGAATTAAAGCAACTTTTACTTCAGGAAAGAAATGTGACAGCATGAACAAAACAGAAGATGAGTTGATCCAACCCTGATGGCAAATGAGGATAAATCCAAAACATGATGGCACAAAATCAATTCACAACTACTCTTTTGTCAAGGATGGTGGGGACAATAATCATGTTTCAACTCTCTAATCCACTCTGTCACACTCCTAAACTGGAGCCAAACCATAACTTATAAAACGTTCAGTGAGAAACATATTCCACTAAATACTCCCCGGAGGCACTGCACAACAGTAATATTTTCTGAAAAGAGTATGCATTGCCTCAAATTCACTTAGATCTGACTAAAAACAGGATTTAAAAGTTAACATCAATAAAAGCCAACAAAGTATTCCTGAAAGTGTCTTGTCCATTAAATGTGACTTTGCATAAGACAAAAGCGTGTGGATCACAGAACACACACAAAGGTTATGAGCAGTAATGTAACAAGTCAAGACAGAGGAGGAAAAAAAAAAAAAAAAATACAAATAACACACATTAAAACCGGATGATAAACTGTTCAGTAGTAGGCCGTAGTTAAACTGCAGCATGCTGTCAGTGAATGAACAGCAGCACCCGGAATCAGTGCAACCAGCGTTCCCTGATTGTCATCTGACTCTCTGAACACCCAAACTCAGTCCTTGTATTCAGTGTACTTTTTGGCCGATCCCTGCACCTTGCTGGCCGGGTATTTTAGTCGGTTTAGAGCCATTTTACGAAGCACCGCTTGGGGAAGATCGACGCGACATTTCTCGGCGAGCTCCACCAGGTAGATCAACACGTCGCTGAGTTCGTGTGCCAGGTGCTCTCGCTCGGACTCGGTCCAGTCCGGCAGGCCCTCGGCCACCTCCCCCCGCCACTGGAAGAGCTCTGCTACCTCGCCCACCTCACCGACCATAGCCAGCAGCAGGTTGCGGGGCTGGTGAAACTGATTCCAGTCCCGCTCGTCCGTGAACTCCGCCTGCATCCGCCTAATGTCCTCAATGGTGGGCTTGGGGCTGAAGGAGAACCCCTCCGCCTTTCCGGCCCCTCCGTTCTGCAACTTGGAGTTATTAGACGATGCCTCCGTTGCTGCTCCGTTTACCACATGAGAGTGAGACTTGTTAGCAAAAGCCTCGTTGCTGCCATTTGAACACACCGATAGTTCATCACCTGCTAGCCCACATGCTTCCCTTCCGTTTGTAGCCATCATGGTGTACGACTTTTACCAGCGGTGCGCGTACAAACAACTTTACAAGAGCTGTAAACAACCTCTTCGGCAACCAGCACGTGAAGAAGTCCCGCCAGTTGTTAAAACGGAAATTAGGCAACTTATGTCGGAAACCGGAATTTTACCAAGACTGGGCTTTGTAGTTTTAACTTGAAAAGTAGCGGCTTGCGCACATATTGTATGCCACTTTAAAAAACTACAGCTCCCGTGTTCATTGCAAAATTACAACATGGCCGCCTCCTCTGTTGCAGCAAGTGAGCTGCTAAACAATATTAATAAACGGATATCAATATTGTATCCAAAGGCTTCCTGCGTAATTAGGCGAATAAGCACATCAAGCTCGCGATGCGACGGTCAGCCGCAGCGGAGTGCAAAAAGGTAAGCGAGGCTGCTTAGGTGGAATATTTTGTGTTGTACCTCCCCTGACCTGCCCCTTTACTAACCTGTATGTAAGCAGTAAGTAAGTAAACGATAAGGTGTCCTAAAAACAGGATAAACTGGAGACAAAGACGTTTCCTTCACCGACTTGAATGTTTTCGTATGTATCAATATATCTCGGGTTTAAACTGTGGACACTCGTCATTGTTTTGTCAGATTGAGTCCCAGTTTTTTTAGAGTAATTGGTCAATTTAGCTAGCTAACCCGTTATTTATAACGAAGAGCAAAAATAACGTTACTGTTGCTACTTTCATAAAGTTTAGGGCAATGGCAAGGAACTGATGTTACTTTAAAAATGAAAAGAGTAGGAATTGCAAGAAGGAGTTGCAATGATTAATCAATTAATCTCCTACTAACTTGATAATAGGAAATTTCTGATTTCAGCTTCTTAATGAATATTTTTTGGTTTCTTTCGTCCTCTGTGACAGTAAACTGAATATCTTTGGATTGTGAACAAAACAAGACATTTGAGGACTTCATCTTGAGCTTTGGGAAACATTTTCACCATTTTCTAATTTATAGACCAAACAGCTAATTTATTAATCCAGAAAATAATCGACAGACTAATCGACAATGAAAACAATCGCTTGTTGTGGCCTAATTGGCAAATATGTTGGCTGATAAGTAAGAAGAATTTATAGTACAGACATGCCAGATATACAGATGGGGGACAAAATCAAGGAATGATCAATATACTGAAGTTCAGACCCTAATGGATCAAGTGTCAAAAACACTAGGGGTGCAGGAAAAAATCGATACAGCATAATATCGTGATATTTGCCATGGCAGTACTGTATCGATACATGGACGCCGAGTATCGATAGTTTAGTATATAAATTGCAGATGGGAGTTTTAACTTTTTGGAACTAGAATAATAAAATCTATTGCTTTTTTAGTCCACTAGAAAACTTAACAGGACCATATAGAGGACTGAAAAAGTGATATGAACAAACAGATAAACAGATTAGATAAACAGATGTTGACAAAGTTTGACTTTAGGGACCTGATTGGAAGTTGGAAAAAGGTGATAAATTGCAATATATCTCTATATTTAAAATCGCAATAAAATCGAATCGCAACATAAATATCGTGATAATATTGTGTCGTGGGGCCTCTGGTGATTCCCACCTCTAAAAACAATGTATCCTACACTTCCCATAATGCAACTTAGTAGCATCTTTTTGTTAGATCCTCTGTGCCTCTATTTTTTTACTCCATGGCTCAATTTTTTTTTTAAAGCTTTCTGTCATAACTTTGAATTCCCTAAACCCAGATAAGGTGTGGATCAGTGTGGGCTTGGCGTCCAGAAACCCTGATCATCAGCAAATACATTATAATTACATACACAGGGTATATTTAACTCCTAGGAAGCTTCATTTGATGAAGGTTATTAATGATCCTATGTGCACTTTCTGTTCTTCCTAAGCGATTGGCAGTTTTTTTCACATGTTGTGGGAGTGTACCCCAGTGACAGAATTTTGGAAGATGGTTGCCTTTAACCTTTCTAAGTTGTTTGAAATCAGATTGCTCTGCTCGCCTGCTACGCTCATTTTGAATGATTTGTCAAGGCTGGGTTTGACACTGGACAAGAGAAGAGCATTGTTGGCGTACGTTGGAAACCTCCACATTCACACTCTCTTCGAGCTTGGGTCTTAACATATTTGGATATTGCCTATTTAGAGTTGTCTACAGCTAGGGGTCCACGGAGCAAAGGAGTCAGCAATAGAAGCTTGGCATTCACCCTTAACTATCCTCTGTGGGTTTCAGATTTAATATGTGACTGAGATATGGAGACCTGGATCCAGGGGGTGGGTGGATGTTTTTTTTTGTTGTCTTTTTTTCATTATTACTATGGTTTTATATATTGATTATGGTTGTTATTATTATTAATACTATATTATTAATATTTTTGATATTTTTGTTTTAGCTGTCTAATACATGTATCTGTATATGAGCATATATGCAGGTATCTATGCCAGTATATCTTTACGCTCTATTTTTGTATCATACAGATAACTATGTTTTGTTTTGTTTTTTGTTTTTCTCTTAAAACAAAATAAAAACTTGATCACAAAAAAAGAATTCTCTAAACCCAGGGTCTGGGCTGGACAATGTGGGCCACCAGGATCCCCTAAAGCCTGGGTTTTCCAGTGAGGCAATTGTTTTTTTGAAAACTTTGTTTAGGTGTAATAGATGCCTTATTAAAGCACAATATGAACTGGCAGTGATAAGGGCTTTAAATGTAGATGTAGTCTTGAAAAGTGTCCAACAGTCCAGTGCTAGTTTTAAGATACTGTGCTTTAATGGTGCGCATTCCTAAATTAATTTGTGTTAAATAAGACAATCACACAGTAAACAAGGATCTATGTTGTTCCAGCATAGGAATACTGTTCATGTAGAGGGAGAGCCACAGTTACTTTGTCCCGCGGGCCCTAGTAAGTTAATCTGGCCATGCTTGAGATGACCCTGATGACATTGCTGGGTTTATTTTCTTAGACAGCTCCCTCCAAAGCCACAGAAGATATTATACAACAGTTTTCATGTTCTGAGCAGTACTCTATGTAAAGCAAACTGATCTTCATATGTAAAATCAGTAGTTCCCATTAAACCTGAAGCCAGCCCTGACCTTAACCCCACCCTGTTGTCCTCTGCAATGCTTAAATCCAAATAAAATTTAGGGCTAAACCCAACCAATCGTCTCTGTGACGCGTCATCACATTAACCCAAATGAAGTCATAATCCCAACCAAGGAGAGAAGTGCTACGGGAAACATTATTTGAAGGGGAAGCAGCCCAGTCAGAAATCAAGTATTTTTAGTACACATACGACTTTTTTCAATATCTTTATTCTTGTCCCATGTCACTTTTCTCATACTCCTACTCAAACCCTGCAGTCAGAACAGACAGGAAACAAGCATTGTCCTGCGTCATGGTACACAGCTACTTTTCGGGCTGATTTATGTCATCCTCAGTCCACCTGTATAGTAAAATTTATTTTATATGGTTCCATCTGTTCCACGTCTTGCTCTTCTCTGCCTCAGTGCTCCCCAGCAGCTGGTTGGAGTAGTGGGCTTGGAAATCCATGCCCAGATTAACTCCAACACCAAGCTATTCTCTGGCTCACCGGTTCGCTTCTCAGCACCTCCAAACTCCCTGGTGTCATTCTTTGACGCATCCTTACCTGGCACATTACCCGTAAGTGTTGTTTATTGTAATTCAAACAAAGATAAACTGTTGTTTTTTTTTCTTTATCGCTTTCTTGTTGTCAGGTCATCAGGTAATATCCCTGTGTGTCCCCAGGTCCTGAACAAACGATGTGTTGAGGCAGCAGTGATGACAGGATTGGCTCTCAACTGCACCATAAACAGGAAGTCACTTTTTGACAGGAAACACTACTTCTACGCTGACCTCCCTGTGAGTTTTTCACTCTGTGCCCTCACAGGGTGCTTTATCTGACTAACAGCAGTGCAGAGACACTATTGTCCTGCACATCATGTGTCATCATTGTATCCCAGTGAAATCTCCTGGGTATGATCCCTAATTGAAATAGTGAGCAAGTCTAGCTGAAACAGCAAAAATGCTATTTGCCACATGTACAGACGAATGACACCGAAAGCTGTTAAAAAAATGACCAATGTTTTTTCACTTACCAGCTCATTTCCTTTAGTGCACTTCTATTTTGACATTATCCACAGGCCATTTCCTTCTCCATGCCTTTGCCGATAATTTGGGAACAGTCTTTTTTTTATTCACTTAATTTGAATCATTATTGGAGTCATAAAAACCTTAGGTAGTGTAGTCTAATTGAACCATTCCAGGTGTGATGTATATGATTATGAACTTTCTGAACTAAAAATTTAATTGAAATAGTTATTTAAAGTGATAAATTTTGTAACCACAAGATGACTCCAGTCTTCAGTAGTTACCTATAATGGACAGCCATTTTCTTAGATTAGACACTGGTATATTTCTAATCTAAATTGCTATCTCATTCTTATTTGAATCTCCACGTATAATCCCCATTGAGTATACTTCTCCACTCCAGTATTAATAAACTCATTTATTTTGGCCACATGAGGGGAAGCAGAACAAACTGTAAACACAACATATACCGCTGATATGGTGTATATGTTAGCATGTAGCAAACAGTTGCAACAAATCGGGCAGGTAAGGAGCTACAGTAGCATTCATTTGCAGTCTCGTTTCTGTCTGATGATGTAAGTCTAATAATCACTCCTGTTATCTCTGTTTTTGTCTTCACCAACTCCTGAGGGAAATATCTGTGTCAGCTGCTACAAAGAGACATTATGTTCACCAGCTCATTGCTAACTTTGTTTGTCTGATGCTTGGTGCTGGGTAATTAGCATGCAGTTGCTTTTCAGTGCTTTTTTACTGAAAATAGTTGCCTGCTGTGGCTGGAAATGATGGTCATGAGAGAAGTAAGAGTGAACCAAAACAGTAAAAATGGAGACATTAAAACCAAAACAATGAGGGGAAAGACGCTAAAACGCTCCGTCAAACTGAAGGGAACTGCATAGTTGAGTGATAATTTGCCGTGCTTATTACCATGAGTGACACATCACAGATTACATTTAGTTTTTTGATCCATTTATAATATAAAAATATTGATTAGTGCAGCTTTAAAGCAACTATAATTGATATTTTTATAATAACAACAACATATTAAATAACAATCTGAACAATGTCTGAAAGGGATCACTAGTAGTGACAACTAGAATTATCACCCAAATCTGCAGCTCCCCTCAGCTTTACAGAGCTTTATAGCAAGTTTCAGATCATTGTTTAGCTGTCGGGGCCACAACTTTACTCTTCTGGTTCACTCTCCTCGCTCTCATAATGTCGTTTTCGATTACAGCAGGAAACAATTCAGCGAAAAAGCTCTAAGAACCCATTTTTGTTGTTTTCCTCTTATTACAGCACTGCTGTTAAAGAATCAAAGAAGTAAAACAGACGTGTTTGCCAACATGGTATTTGAGGAATTGCATATCAGTCCTATGTTCTTGATATGAGCCAAATAGCAGTCTAGTAAGCCTAACACTGATTCCATTTACCAGTCTTGCCCAGCCCAAGTGATGTTCACTTTGCTCTCTGTAATGGAGTGCTCGCATGGCAAATTTTCACTACCCCTCAGAGCCCCGGGGTAACTTTACTGCCATTATGAGTGACATTTTAATGCTTAGATGGAAAAGACAAAATGTCATGGGAACTCTACAATGACTTGCCCTACAGAGACCTCTTCTAATATATCTAGAAGTTCTCGGAAGAAAGGTGTTAAAGATATTTGCATTTTGTATTTTCAATGTCAGCCTTTCCCTGGAAAGATATTATGCTGGGCAATTAGCAGGGTAATTATGGACTGAAGATTTCCTTTGGTATTGGTATAAGTATTTCATAGAAAACTGCCCAAAGAAGTGTCTTAAAATGAGAGTACAAGCAAAAAACAATAAAACCCACTAAAAACAAGCTTCAGATGGCATTATTAATGCACATTTTTTATTATTGCACTGAAATAAATTCTCTTTTTTGATATATCTTGCTCTAATATTTGAGCTAACTTGACTTTATTGTAAAAATGTAACTAATAAGCCTTGATGGAGCACAACCGTTTTCAGTTGATCTTGATAGATAAGAGTTTTTCTCCCATTTAATATTTCACAGAGTCACTGGTTATCACAAAGTTACAGCAGGACATATTTTAATCACAATGTTAAAGATACATTATCTCCTCAGATCTTATCTCCTTGGTGGCTGTGGCACAGGAGTTAGAGTGGGTTGTCCATTGATCACAAAGTTGGCTGTTCGGTCCCTGGCTTCCATCCAAGTGTCCTTGAGCAAGACACTGAACCCCAAGTTGCTCTAGGTGGGCAGGCCAGTGCCTTGCATTTGTGCGTGTGTGTGTGTGCGTGCGCGTGTGCGCGCAGGGAATATAATACCCGATTACAGTTTTTTGAGATTTACCAAAGTACTCATGCCAGAAGGTTGAGCCTGAACCTTTATTTGTGTTTTAAATCGACTGTGTGCCCTGTGCACAATACCTGCTGTCGCCTTGTTTGCAATTATTTAGTTTGGATTAGTCCCATCAGCTGCTCAGAAAGAGCGATCTGTCCCAGTGTTGCGTGAAACAGCTTGATAAACGGAAGTTTAATTTAAATGGCTTTAATTATGCAGATGATTGGACATTTTTCACATTCGACCTAAAGTTTGAGTGTAAGCCTTGTGCGTAAAACCAAACCAGTAACAAGGCCGAGGGAGAAATTATCTCACCCTTGAAAAATATATTTGTAAATTGCGTTGTACATTATTGATATGTTCCACTAGAAACCCTTGATTGCATTTTGTAAAACACCACAGTTGCTCATTAAATGATTAATGCTTCTGCCCAACCAGCATTCCTTCTTTCAATTGAAATGGCAGGCAAGACACATATTTAAAGTTTTTAACGGCCTTTTAATAACATGCATCAGCAGCTCCAGACTAACCTACCAACAAAAACAAATAATTACAATTTCCTTGAGTTATTAAATCTCTAAATAAACAGACATGGCCTGGCCATTGAAGCTTTGACATGTGTTTAATGAGAGTTATGGATGTTTTTGTGACCTCCGTGGGTGTCTGAGAAGAACATCACTGTGCGGGAGCGAGGAATGAGAAGACCGCCTGGTTTGTTTAGTGACTTAGAAATTATTTAGAAAATGACTCAGCAGCTCACAACAGGAAAATGAGTTTGGGGTGTGTGCGTCTCCAATTCTGTATGTACAGTATATGAGCAGACATGCATCTGTAACTTTGGATATAAAAAGGTTGAGGAAGTGTTTGGAACATCACTGCTCATTAAGGCTCAAACTGCTGTCCGAGTGTAACTGGGAAAACTTAATGTGGCTACCAGGATCTTATTTGCAAAAGCCCTGCCTTACCCTTCATTATGTAGCAACAGTAGTCAATTTATTATGCAGGAGACGCAAGTAGTCTTCACTTATACAGATGCTCCCTAATGTACAGTATGGCCTGCTTGCCATTCAGCCAGCGGAAACAATATTATCAACGGCCGAGGCAAAACTCATGTAAAGATTAAGTAGGAAACAGGGGATTTTTGATAAGCTGCAACACTATTCACAAAATCCAGCAGATTTAAAAATTGAATCCACCAAGCACAGAAATGGAAATGGAAAATCCCCAACAGTTTGTTTTTCCTCTCATTTGTTGCGGAAGGTGGAGGTGTGGATTGATTGTTTAGATCAGACACATTGTACAGAAAGCCAGTGACTAACAGTCCCCCCAATCTCTTCTCCCACGTCCTCGCCCTCTTTAGCATAAGTATGATTAATGTGTAGTTCCTGTGATGTGGTTGCCATAGTAACATAGGAAATTAGTACTTGGGGCAGCAGATTCTTTTAGGAATGGAGGAGCAGGTGAAATATTTATTCTTGTGCTTTTGTGAGTAGAAACCTTGAGTGAAATGGCAGCACTCCTGCTGCATGATAATGACAGCCCAGCCAATCAGCCAGCACTGTGTGTAATTAATGCTGCCTGTCTCACCTTTACATATACCCACGACACTGACTGCGGCATACTCATCACTTTTTCACTGAAATAGGGGGATTTCAATGAAGGACTCCAAAAAATTGTATATTACGTCCATGCTTTGGTGTATTTCCTATTGAAAAATGATATTTTGGGTCATTTACTCAAGGTATGTCTGGGAAATAATCTCTAAATTTATTGAATTACTCACATTCTTTATCTTTCACCTGAATTTAATCATGTTGCAATTTTCTGTACATGTCAATACACTAATATAGCTACAACAAACAATGACGTGATAAAAGTTCAACCAACCAGTCAGTCTACAGCCAAGTGTCGTAGTGTAATTTACATTAACTGTAAACATGAATGCAATTAACATAGGATGTACATATCAGAAGCCAACATTCGAAAATAAATATATGTACTGCAGGGAAAAGCAATTGTTTTCAAGGAAATCTGATTATTAATCTTCATACAGATTTGAGGTCATATCATCCAACTCTATTCCGAAGTGACCAAAAAGGATATCAGTTAGCAAAAGACTGTTGTACTGAAAAAGGGTTAAAGGATGGCATTGTTCAATTATTCCTGACTGGTGTATTTGTTGGAATTTTCTAATTACATGTGGGAAATAGTGCTGTTTTTGTTCTCCTTGTTGACTCGCCATACACTGCTTTCTTTTAATAAAATGATAAACGTGGGTTGGTGGTACTGTAATGAGCCAAAAGACTGTTCAGATTCTAACTTAGGGACAGTTGAGAGGAGCGACACGGAGTTCTGAGGTTTTGGGCCATCTATCTACCACACAACCTTGCTGCACAGATTTTTGCAGGACTGAATTTTGGCTGATGTATTTTCAAATTTCAGTCTGGATACCAGATCACTCAGCTACGGCAGCCCATCGCGGTAGATGGCATGCTGACTTACAGCTTCCTTGGGGGGAAAAAGAGGAGCCAGATGATCAGAAAAACTGTCAACATCAAACAGATTCAGCTGGAGCAGGACAGTGGCAAGAGTCTCCATGATGACCTCCGCAGCCAGACACTCATAGACCTCAACAGAGCAGGTAACGTTAGTGATTATCAGTCTGTGCCTTTCAATTAAAGGATAAATCTGGATGGGTATAGTTTATTCCTCTGTGACATACACCTTGATTGTTGTCCAAAAGCTATTAAAAACACATTAGTGAGCCACACATTTGCACAGGGTGACATGTTGCTTCATTAAAATGAACATGGGCTCTGCAGGCTATTTTGAGCTGCTGCTGAAAATAGTCCCCAACAAAAGCACTATTTAAACTATAGTGCCCAGCTGTTTTAGGAAATCACTTTAACTTAAACAATATATTGACTATAGTGTTTTTAAAAATGTCCATCTTCAGTTGTAATGGATGGGCTTGGAGCAGAGTGCCACAGACAGTAAAGAAGCTGGAAATGTTTTGAGACAACACGGTGTGTTGGACAAAAAGGTGCAAATAGGCATTATCCTATAGATTTAAATTGCTCAATGAAGCGAGAACTGTTGAGGTTTGTTGCAAAGCTCCATGTGATAGATACCTTAGGGATGCAAAACAACGCTGTCTTCCCATTCGTCAGGTGTAGGTCTAATGGAGCTGGTGATGGAGCCAGACATGAGCTGTGGAGAGGAGGCTGCAGCAGCTGTCAGAGAGCTTCAGCTCATCCTGCAAGCCCTGGGCACCTGTCAAGGCAACATGTCTGGTATGGAAATCACTCTCTGTCTCTCTGCCCTCCTCTCTTTACTGAGCTGCTATACCTCTAAACCCAAACTTATTTCCCACTTAGCGTGCATCATGTTCGTCTTTCTCCACAGAGGGCCAGCTGAGAGTAGATGCCAATGTGTCCGTACACAAGCCAGGTGAGCCCCTCGGCATCAGGGCAGAGGTGAAGAACATCAACAGCGTCCGGTACCTGGCCAGGGCTATTGGTAAGCATTGGTATAAAGTTAAAAACTTTAAGGAAGGATAGTAGGATGGCATAAGCGTGCGACTAGTGTTTAAAGAGGTACTTTGAACACTGTTCCATCTGAATGGGTCTCAACTGGCTGCGTGATTGTGTGTGTGTGTGTGTGTGTGTGTGTGTGTGTGTGTGTGTGTGCTGAAATTGGTAGTGAAATGTAAGAAACACTCAGTGGTGGAGCATAACTAAGCACATTTCCTCAAGTACTGTCTGAAGTCTGACATTTTGGGAAATACGCTTATTTGCTTTCTTGCCTAGAGTTAGATGAGAAGCTCGTCACCGCAGTAGCAAATATGAAGCAACAGCTTGCAGCCGGCCAACTTAGCTTAGCACAAAGACTGGAAACGGGGAGGAAACAGCTAGCCTGGCTCTTTCCAAAGTTAACTAAATCTGCCTACCAGCACCTCTAAATCTCATTAAGACTTAACCTGTACATAAAAACTTGTAAAAACAGCAATTTGATCGTTTTATGGGGCATTATTTACCATTTCTTGACTGGGACTAGGAACTTCCTGGAGTCTCCCACTAGTTGTCTGGCAACTGGTCCTGGCTAAGAATTAGTTGGGCAGATAACCTCCAGTAAAACAGCAAGTTACTAGTAATTCCGTTTCATGCTACTTTATTCTTGTACTCCTCTACAATTCAGAGGGAAATCAAGTTATACAAGTTATTTTGCAGATTCATATTTTACATACTAAACATATGATGATCTTATAAAATATGATGCATTGTTATAGAGGAAACTACCCAACGGTAAATGTGAAATAGTTCAAATTAGCTCAACCATGCCAGCTACAACAGTAAAATTCTACAAACACATAGCCTAATAATATAGTAATAATAGTGAACTACAAATAACACTCAAAGAGGCCATATGCATTATGAGTAGTTTTACTTTTGATATTTTAAGTACATTTTACAAATAATACTTTTATGTACTATGTAAGACTTTTACTTGTAATGGAATATTGTCCAGTGTGGTATTCCTACAGCAGAAACACACAAGAAGCCAAAGAGAAACACATGCATACACACACTCATGCAATTTTGCATTTGTCATGTATAACAAAAACTTAATATTTTTATTACTTTCATATTTTAAGATAGTATTTGTTCTTTGTTTAAATAAAAACAAGGATTCAGCTGGGTTGTGAAGAGACAGTAAGACAGGAAGTATAGTTAATTTTGACAGTAACTTGTGAAGCATAAGTTGAGGACTGACAACCAGTCACAAACAATTAGCTGTGTTATATCAGCATGTGAAGTTGAATTGGCTTCTCGCAGCTGCTCACTTAAAAAAAGGCATAGATTTTTATGTCAACTCTGACTTCCCTGACTGTTGATTGAGTTTCACTTAAAACACTGACAAAAAGCTACAGCCAGAGCATTTCAGCATTGTACATGTAGGTTTTTTAGCATGGTTTGACATGCTTTGGTGCTGTGCTGGAATTATTTATCAATAAAGTTTATCACATTTACTCTGCAGCTGAATTGGTATTTAAAAGTCATGGAGAAAAACATCGTTTATCACAGTTATAATGTGGCAGCAGTCAGAGACATGAGGATTGCCAGTGTATCAGATGCAGATGTTTGGCATTTTACCACAAAATTATATTTGCGTGTACTGGTGTTATTGAATAAACTGTATTTGTGTTCACACCCCCTCCCTCACCAGACTACGAGATCCAGAGACAGATTGGGGTCCTGCAGAGAGGGGGAAAAGTGCAAAATGAGACCCGAGCGTATGATTCCAAAACAGGGTAAGAGGATGAAAGAGCAGTGCCACGATGCCAAGCCTTAGCCACTGCAACACCCTCTGACTGGGATCTCTGCCTGGCTCATTAGTCCTGAGCTTTGCTGAGGATGAACCATCATGCTAATCATGATGAATGGAGCCATTTGGATCCCACCGCCATCGTCCTGCGTTATCTGTGAGCTATGTGTTACTCACAGGCTTATGAGCTCACAGTATGAGCCAGCTCACACACAGCTGAGGCCTTAATCATCTTCTGGTGCTCTACCTATTTCCCATGAGGCCTTTCATGTCCAAGGTATATGGTGGCATGTTAAATAAGAGTGTGTGATGGCCTTTGATTGGCTGTTTCGTTTCGTTCCTGTGAAAGTGACCACAGATTTAACTATATTGGTTTGCTGACTGGAAGGCATCATTCCTCGTCTTTTTTGTTTGTTTGTTTGTTTGTTTGTTTTTTTTCAATTAGCCAGACTACTACACAGTTTTCTGGAGTTAGGTGTTGGGGTTGCAACTACTGAGCCTCTCCTTTAATTAATGATTTGGTGTAAAGTTGACACAATCAAATGTCTTGTTTTGGTAGACCAACAGTCCAAAATCCAAACATGTTCAGTTAACTATTAAAACAAGGAAAACAAGGAAAAGCAACAATTCTTCCCATTTTCGCTCAAACCAGTGAATATTTGGCATTTTTGCTTGAAAAATTATTTAAACTCTTAAATCATCTTCTTCTTTGTTTTCAGCTCTGAACAGTATTGCAGAGCAGTTGAAAGGCATATTCGATGTGTGCTGCAAGTCCTCCAGTTCCAATTCTTCTTCATCTTTTATGAAGTTTTGAAACCCATGTTTATAAATGATAATCCAGAGCATTTATGACGTGTGCATGTTTTTCTCTAGGGAGACCATTCCTATGAGGGACAAAGAGGGTCTCCAGGACTACAGGTGAGTGTGAGTTTGCCGGCTCTTGGCATATCTGTGCTAATTTATTCCTTAGGAGCTTGTGTTTATTGACGTGCAGTTATGATGCGAGAATGTGATCTTTCCCTCAGCGGGGACTGAAAGAGGATGAGCGCCTCTGTGTGTGTGTTTGAGTTTAGGGGGGGGGGGATGATGGACAGGTATAAGGTTGATGGAGTCAAGTGATTCGGGGAGTAAGTGAAATGTTACAAGTGTAATGTCAAGAGGACTATTAGTATCTCAACAAAAGCTAACCTTCTCTAAGCTTATCTGTACTGCTGATAAAGCATTCTTTGCTCCTCCCTTTTTTTCCCCCTCCATCCGCCCTCCCTTCAGGTTTATGCCAGAGCCCAACCTGCCCCCTCTGATTGTGTATGAGGATAACGCATCGCTGCCCACTGGCATTGATGCATGCCAAGCGGTGGTGGTGCAGAAGATAAGAGAAGGGCTGCCAGAGCTACCCAGTGTCAAAAGAGAGAGGCTGGTGCAAATGTACGGCATCCTGCCCGAGCACAGCTTCACTCTGGTGGTGAGTTTATAAGTGGGCAAAAGCAACCAGACAGAGACGAGTTGATTCCCTCACTAAATATGTTCCCTGCATCTTTCTTTTAATTGCCATCTGAGTCCTGAGCTTTGATGCAGTTCTGCTTGAATCCAGGCGGCAGCTGTGTACAGCTGGACTCTGCTGAGCCGAATTGATCCTAATTAGATAATGTGCATGTGAAGTGATAAACGCATTTTTTATGGTGTTTTGTTGCAGAATGAGGATGGCCTGGTGGAGTACTTTGAAGCGGTGTTAAAGGCGACCAAAAAGGAGCCGAGGAAGGTGATTGGCTGGGTGACAAATGAGCTGGTGGGCCACCTCAAACAGCGAGAGATGAGTGTGAGCCAGAGGTTAGACATACACATTACATCCCTTCATATAGCTTTTACAATATTCACATAATGTCATTGTAGCTCATGAGGGCAGCGCTGTTTGGCTTGCTCACTTTGTACCTTTTGCATGCTGTGTCTGAAAACTGTGGTGATTTTGAGCTGTGGAAGAAGGAGGAATACAGCATGTACAAATAAAGGTAAACATGGGAAGAGGTTTTTAAACTTGAGAGTCAGGAGGTCATGAGATACTTGGCTCTTGTGAAATACTGAATTGTTCTGATAAACAAAACAACCACCAACAATAAAAGTCACTTAGGGTTAGGGATCTTTCTCTCCAATCTCGCTCTCCCTCATTTCTTGTCATCTCTCCATTGTATGTAATGATGGAATAAAAATGCCCAAAAATACTTTTAAAGAAGAGCTATTCACTCTCCAGATGCAGTCTGGGTCTGTCAGGCTTCTCTTTATTTTAAGTTGTCACAAACCATTGCTTCAGTGGTTCATGAGAACAACTGTTTTTTCTTGTCAAAATGAATTGTCATCTAAAAGTGATTTATTATTATATCTCATATCAGAAGTTCATATCCTGTAACTCATGACTAAACTTTAGTCTTACTTTGACCATTTATAGCAGACGGTTATACAGATTGATTAGGCGTACAGAGCTCTGCTCTTTGAGGGAGCTGTCAAAACATTCCAGCAGCAAGGAAGCTTCTGCAGTAGGAAAAGATTCCCCTCTTGATAAACACATGAACATTAGTTCTTAGTTAAATCAAAAACACCAAAACCATAGCACATATGGAGGAGTTTAGGGTGGTGAAGGCAGTTCTGGCAGCAAATAGAGTTGACATGTGAGTACCAGCAGAGTGATGTTGGAGTCAGACTGAAATTTGCCTGATGAAATTTACTCCGGGGGGGGAGGGTGCAGGAAAAAGCATGAATAGGGTTGCAAACAGGATTTGCAGGAGCTGGGCTTACCACAGCAGTCCGCAAAGTTACATGTGATAAAATATAAGATTAAACTCTGTACAAAGCGAAGGAGGTACATACATTCACTACCAGAAGCAAATTTGTCTCAACCCCTTCCACGTAGAAGTTAATGGGAAATAAAGTCCAGTCTTAATGCGCCACAATAGTGACACATGTCAGCTAACGATGGCAGTGCTGTACACCTGCATGAATATGATTGGACGTAATCACTCAGCTGATATCCACACATCTGTGAAAGAGCCGATCATGCCAATCGGCTAATGCAAGAGCTTGGACTTCAGCAGTGTACCTAAACTAACGATATGCTTCTTATCTAGTAACGATTGTGCCAATGAATGAGGTCTGTTCAGTTGTTTTAAATATTGTGATGTTTTTATATGCATCATATTGAATCAAATAATTGCCACAGTCCTAAAGATTTTCAGTTTCTAAGCAAGGGAAAATAAAAATGTGCAAGGCAACAAGAATCATAATAACAAACATACTTCAGTTGTAAAAAATCAATCTAATTTTGGGGTTGCTACTAATTCCACCCGTGACACACATTAACATACACACACCTTCAGTTGTTGAAGTTATTGAACTGCTTCCTCTCTATTCCCTAAGAAGGTTTGCACATGATTAAAGAGCATTTAGCCAAAAAAAAGATTTGTTCTGTGGTGTACAGAGCTCATAATAGTGTTTTTATTGTCGATCTACAACGTCTGGGTTGAAAATAACAGCACATTAGCTGGATAAAATAATTCTCTTATCCATGAACCATTCTACATTATAGTGGTTTGGTTTGACTGACATCAAGGATTATTACATTCTTAGTGTTCACAAATGCTGATAAGACCGTTGCATACTATACAACAATAACATGTGTGAGTTCATAAATCATCCAATATTACCTAATTCTTTGTGTCTGTCATTGAGAAAACCTCCGCGATAGTCTGACAGCCCATCAGGGAAGAGCCTGTTTTGACAAATCCAATTACATTAGTGAAATCATTACTTTTTGGAAGAAGGTGTTGTTTTGATGTCTCCCTGCTGAAGGCCTGTTAGCTGGAACAGGTTGGATTTTTGTAAATGTTCCAAAACACTCTTGAAATTGAATAAAGTCCTTTTGATATTTTGATACAAGTTGCCATAGTACCTTTCACACTTGTGCTTAAAAAAAAAACTGCTTATCTAGCCACCGGCTATGAAAAAATAACTCCAGTTGTCTGTCTCACTGCTTCGTTTTCTTCATGGCATACTGTAAATATCACACATTAATTTCACTCATTTTAGCAATTTTCTTAAAATTGCAGCTAAATGAAAAATGAAGGTGGTAGGATGCATCTGAGTTGTATTTGTGAAGGTCAGTCACTAGATCACAACTTAAAAACTTCACTTTAGCTTGCTGAGTCAGTTGTTTAACCCAGAGATATATTGTTCCATGATAATTTATTAAAATCATTACAAAGCACATGAAATTGAAACAGCAATGGGTTGACAGCAGCGCAGATGCTGTGAGCTTTATTTTATCTACCATTCCCAGACTGTTGTGACGCATTCGTGTCTGAGTAAACCACAAAGTAGCTGGTGTTTATTGATGCATAATGTTGCATTTGCTTTGGTTGAAAGGAGGAGAGTTAAAGAAAAACAAAGAGTGGCCAGCAGGACTGTCAAAAGCTGCAGGCAGGGAAGAAACAGAAAAACTCAGCTACACATAATTAGGATTGAGTGCATGGATCCAGAAGGAAATAATTGGCGTTTTGGGTATAAAATAAAAGGTTTTCATAAGGATGCATGTATCTCCTTGTGCATCCATATGATGGCTGTAAATATACATTCATTTTTTTATCTTGGCTGTCCTGTATAATGTGCCCAAACCTCCTTTTGTCCTTCTGGCTCCAAACTTTACAGTAGGGTAAATGAAAAAAGAAATTGGGAAGCATATTGCTCAGGCAGCCAGAGAGATGAAACTCCGGACATGTCGTTAAGCACTTGTTCAGTCACTTCCACCAGTTAAAACAAGTCACTCTTCCAGGATTCCCCCTAACACAATTCCTGGGTTTGCTGATGGCTGCCAATGAAGGAAACTCATTATGGATCCAGAGGCTGATTTGTGGCAGGATGGCGACAGCATCCAGCCTACATTAATGCCTTGTTAAAATTTTACTAATTTAAAAACAAATATAATGAGGGCTCTCATTATACCTCAAGTACCCCTTCACTGGCACAAGTATCATTTTATAAATGGATTATGAACTAGATGTCATTTAACACTTTTAAATGATTAACTATTGTTAATAAGAAATTCATATAATTGAAGTGTTCAGGTCGCTTTGGTCAAGTGTGCAGTTATGCCTCTACCATCTGGAGTAGCATAAGCATGATGTTTGTCTTCTGAGCTATTTCAATTGTTTATTAATTACTTTTAGTTAACTATTTCAACTGTTTATTCATTAATTGTAGCTAACTATTTCAGTTGTTTAGTTATTACCTTTAGTTAACTATTTCTATAGCTTATTGCTTTTAGCTAACTAGATTTCACACACTCTCATTTGCAACATTCAGTCACATCTGACTCTGGTAGAGGGTCAGATAAGCGGTTATTGTATATTTACTGAAGACCACCAATTGGTAATCCTGTTTGGCTGTTTATTTTCCTCCTTAACACAAATATGTGGATATATTTTTTAATCAAATTACAATTTGTACATGTTTGTTAATTATTTGAGCTTTCCATGTGGCCCCTTTCAACTGCAGAAAGTACAAGTACCCCTGGTTGGTTATCACTGCTCTGCTTGACACATGAACTGTTGGCTGAAAAACAATTTTTGTTTGTAAAGATGGATACTTTTGATCTATTTTTCCCACAGTGTCTAGGCCACGTTTGGAGGAGATTTAGTTTAGATGGACTGTCTTGCATGCAGTATACTGAATGAAACTGTGTCTCTGCTTAATATATTCTAACTGGCTTTTTGATTCTGTTTGTCTGGTAGCCTGAGGAATAAACAAGAAGACATAGGAAAAACAAATCTCCTTCTCTCCCTCCATTTATATCACTAAATTAAACTATGTAAATCACCCTTTCATTTAATTTCAGCCCAATCTCTCCTTCTGCCCTGGCTGAGCTGCTGGAACTCCAGGAAACGGGACACATCTCCTCTTCGGTTGCCAAGCAGGTCGGTCAGCTGCACAGACCATGCAATTATCCCCCTCTGGCTGTCACTCAACAAAACACCCAGCAAGTGCTTGTTTGTATTCTGGTTCTCGCCTGCATCTTTGTGGTTTCTCCCCGCTTTCAGGTGTTCCAGGAGATGTGGAGGTCATCCGGCAAGACAGCCCCGCAGATCATCCAGGAGCAGGACTTGGGTCTTGTTAGTGACACCGCACAGCTGCATAGGATCTGCCAGGAGGTGGTGGACTCGCATCCTGATGAGGTGAGGGTTCACATTCAAATTCAAATGTATTTTTATTTTTTTGCATGTTTGAGATGTATTGTGTTTGCTGTGCCACTCTGTAGGTTCACGCCATCAGAAATGGAAACAAGAAAGTTCTGAACAAGCTGATGGGGCTGGTTCAGAAAGAGACCAAAGGCCGAGCTGACCCAGTCTTGGTGAGGGCAGTTTTACAAGAGAAGACTTCATGACTGTTGAGCTGAACGGACCGTTCTGCAAGACCCAGTCATATCATAGACAGGGAGTAAAACCATAGCATATTTGACCCTCATGAAAGACAAACAATACAAAAGTGATGTTGTAGATCGCTATGAAAATGCAGATAAGCAGAGTAATCATGTCTATGTCACACGGCAGCACAAGGTGGCTTGTGTTCTGTGGGTTGATAATGAAAGGTGAAAATTAAGCTAACATCCTTAGTTTCTGAGAGATTGACATTTTTGTAAATACTGAATATGTTCACCGGACAACAGCCATTTTCTTCTGTGTTTATGTACGGTATTTATGTATTTAAAAAAGTAATAAAGCTCTTCAGATTAAATACCCTCTGTGGCAGTGTTGTATCACCATTGGGTTTACTTTGTCAGGGGGAAAAGGGCATTCATGAATCCCTAGATACACTAAGTAAATATTTTCATATTCTGACCAAATCTGAACCAAAGAGTTAATGAAACTTTTATGGAAAAGTGGAAGAAGTAAAATCTAAATTTGACTGGAAAACTCATTTGATGTTAAAGATAAATTTACATTTAAATGGTCCTGTTAGTGAATAAGGAATATTTGGATATAATTCAAAGTATAATTCAATATAACCCTTTCAGTATAACTTGTACAACTGTATAACTGTACCATTGGCTGCTGGTATATTGACCATTATTGTCAGTTTTAAGGCCTGAAAATCACACAGGCAGGAGATGATCCTGCTGACCTGACAGATGATCTCTTATCAAGGGACGCAATGGAAATCCCTGCCTGTCATAGACATCCAGGCAGGAGACTGATCAGTGAGCTCCCTCTTGTGGTAGAACCAGGTTATTTGCCTTGTATTTCTTTCTATATAGTGGTGCTTTAAATATGGATTCTCTCTGGTATTGAGGTGCAGAAAACCCTTACACAATTTTTATCTTAAACTTGTCTACCCCTTCTCATCTACACCTTCTCTTTTGAGGTCGGTACATAAAAAAAGGAAATTAAGACACAATAATGGCCGTTGCCTGGCCCTGCTTCTCGTCTCTAATGGTAAAGTTCAGTGCAATTTATTTCAATGTAGTAATTTAAGATGTGAGTAGTCCCAATATTTTTGCACCTAATCCCATTTGGAGATAACAGAAAATTCCATCTTTCACATTGCAGTTTTTTTAAATGTGACAAAGAAATAGCTACAACTTCAACAGATGGACGTGTTGTTTTCTGGTCAACTGCACTTGACTGCCTATTTGGCTACTGCCCTGTTGGGTCTTTTTTTCATTGTTTTGGTTGTTTTAGCTTCAAATGGTTGTAGTTCCTGGTTGGTCTTTGTGATAAATCTAGTCTGACAGCATCCAGTGGCCCATATTTTCCCCCATGTACATATTAACTCCTGTTTATCCCACATTGATTTGGTTTCATGTGATTTTTTTTGAGCCATGTAGTACCTCGTTTGCATGCATATGCATAAATGCAGTTTACTTAGTAAAACGATGTTTATCTTGTGCATTGATGTACTAATGATGAATGGGATATTTATGACCTGTCAAAAGCTTCTCCATCACAGTGTGCTACATATCTGCGGTATTTAATTTGCATGTGAAAGGAGAATATAAGCTTGTGTTTACCCAAGAACGAGACCTACTTTTGAGGACAGGTTGTTCAGAAAGGAAATGTGTATTAAATGAGGATATCATTATCTACTGTCAACACAAAAAGGTCATTCAGTTTCATTTTCCAGAAGTTGTCTTTATTAAAAGAGGCATGCCTTTGTGTCTCAGACACGGCAACAAACAGCAACCTAACCACATAATGGATAGAAACTGAGGCCAAATGGTGTCAAAGGATGAATCTTTGGAATAAGAACCTACTGAGACAGAAACTGGTCAGTAATCTTGACTATAAAACCCGTTTTCATGCCACAATGCTGCTAAAACGGGGATTGTTATACTGCGCTGGGTATGTTGGACTGAAGCTGTGCCGTCTGAGGGTCTGTGTCAGCAGTGCAGAGTGGCACTGCAATATGAAAAGGCTGATAAAGTGCTCTGCAACATTCTTTTATCAGAGAGAAAGACTTATTCAACGATTGTGAACATGGCTTTGATTGATACAAATATACATGTCAAAGCCATTTTTGTAAAAAGTACACAAATGTCCTACTGCATTATTTATTGCTTGCATACCATCAAATACAAATGAAATGGATTTAAATAGGAACAAAATTACACAATCCAGATTTAAAACTAGAGTTAAACACAATTCTCCTCTTATTAGCTGGACTGATGAGATGACAACATGGATCAACTTAGTGTAGTTTTACAAGACCGGCAAGTGTACAGTTGCATTAACATCCCCCTTTCACCTCATTTTCTTTCTCCCAATAATTTGTGTTTGTACAAAGGTACATTTACTTTTTGTTAGATTTAGTTGAAGCAGTCCATAGTCAATAAGATGTATGTTGCATGTCTTCAGTTTACACTTTGACGATGGACATCTTCAGGTAAAAACAAAAATCCCTATAAATTTTAAGTTTAAACTGTAACATTATGTATAACTCATGATTAACTTCATTCGAAATCAGGCAATAATGTGAACTAAAATCATAATTTAGGCACTAATTTTAAAGTATTTCTGTCCTGATAAATTCATTTAGACAGCTGCTTTGTAACAAACAATTTCTCTTGTATTAACATTTTAACAACCACACGAACAACCATGTGCAATACCTGGACTATAATAAAGGCAATTTGCCCTCAGTAATTGTTAAAATCTGAGATGGTTTTCAACAGACACAAAACTACAACTCTCCAGACAGTGATATTTCAGACTTATCACAACTAAAACACCCTACACAATCCCTAAATAGAAGATGGTGATAAACCCCAACAGCTTGCCTCTAGTATAACCTTTGAAAAAAGTGGCAATAGAAACTCTCATAAAAGCTTAAATACCCCTTCCCATTCTGAATATATCCAAAACTTAATTATACCCATGATTTGCATAGTGTTTTGTCATTAGAACATTTTTCTTACATATGTACATTATAAAACATCACTAAAGTAAGGCAAATTAAATATAGCATGAATAATTCTAGAGTCGGCGCTCTGATCTGGAGAACACGTGGAGCCAAATAATGTGAGAAACTAGTGCATTGTAGGAAAGTTGCTTCACCCAAAGGCTGTTAAATGAACAGAACGTGTATTCAAAATCTCCTGAGGTACCGTCACAAATGAACAGGAAAACACCAAAGAAAATGTACATCTAACACCACAAAGATTTTGTGAAAATACCACTTTGTAAAGTTTAAAGACAAAAGTGACCAAACTGCCCCCCCCCCCAAAAAACAATGTAGTCATGTAACAATTGCATAAGAACAGAGAACAAAGTTTGGCATGTGTGACGATGCCAGGCCTGCTGCCAGTTGGCTACAACTATTATCTTTAAATGACTAAATTAATTATATAATTCAAAAGCTTCAAAGCAAGAGAGGCTCCACGAGGTGCTCAGTTATGGTGTGTAATTCAATGGCATAGAGGCAACAACTCTTCAAAAAGGCCACCTGAGTTTTTAACAGAACCACACTGAGCAGCAGACATCTTGCAGGGGTTGCAGCTGGTTGTAGAAGACATTCAGAAAGAAGAACCTGGAGTTCAAATGAGGGCTAATAAGAAATGTTGTTTGTTTGTTTTTTTAAATCCTCTCTTTACAGTCTTTGGTTGGTGGACCTGGAGCTCTCTCTTATGAGCATTGACAGCTGGTTTCCAGAACTAGAAAGATGAAATTAAAAAGCACATGAAATTGATTATCTTAGCTTGGAAAATAAATACGCTATTACTTGATCTAAGAGGTTTCTTCATGAAGTAAGTGCATCAAAAGCACCAAAAAAAGAAGGAGTCTTTAAAAATCTTTCAGAGTTTACTTGGACTCATCACAGAAGCCTACTGGGACACGATCACTCTTCCATAGGAATGTATGATAAGATGGAGTGCTCTTGTGCAATAGCAGCCAGTTCTTTGAGGAACTCCGTGAAGAGGACGGTAGCGAAGACTTCTGTCCGATCCAGAGAGATGGCTTTGGGTTTTTGTGGCGGTGAACTCTTCAAGATCCTTCCCGCCTCACCGTGGGTGGAGTGTTTGCTGCTGCTTTTGTCTGAGAATATGAGGATTTAATGTTACAAGTTTTGACAAAATGAAAACAATGTATACACATGGATATATTCCATGCCACGCCATGCAGTTGGAATTTTGTCAAACATAATATATTCCTGATTTCTCCATTTGTAAATAATTTCACCAAGAAAGTAGGATCCTAATTGCTGCTCTTCTGGAAAAACGCTTAACATGTACAAGAAAGGAAAAAATCCCTTTAAATTTGCCATCTTTTCTGGCTCTTATCTTTCCGCAAATGTACTCCCGTTGTTTGTAGCTCGTACAGCTCTGAAACCATGGGGAACCTAGTTCAAACACAGGCCTGAAACTCCAGGGTTTAGCTCAACTGCAAAGACACAGGACTTAGCAAAATCAAGTAGAATTTATTCTGGTTCCCAACAGGAGCCAAAACACAACCGATAATGAATGCAAATGTTTTGAACTTGACCCATTTTTGACAGCGAGTTAGTGAGATTGAGGAACTCAACAACCGTTTAGAGTTTATTTTCCAGTCAGGGGTGGTAATGGGGCAGTGGATAAGACACATACCTTTGGTACCTTTGCCACCATTGTGTCCCTGAGCAAGACACTTAACCCCTCGTTGCTCCAGAGGCCTCTGACATTTATAGCAATTGTAAGTCGCTTTGGATAAAAGCGTCAGCTAAATGAATAAATGTAAATGTCATTGGCTTGCCACCAAAATATTCCCCAGACTTAAAAAGAAAACAATACTATCGCAAGCCAATAAGTGTCATCCTGAACCCACTGTTGTACTGAAAATATGCTATAAAACTGATAGTTGTTATTTATACAGATTTGTTTCAAAAACATAACTATTGAGTTGAATACATAATTAGTGATGATAATATAATCTAAATAAAAGCCAAAATATGTGTGGCTAAAGAAATCTGCCTACCAGCACCTCTAAAGCTCACTCACTCATTAGCATTTTATATATATCTTGTTAACTGTATCCATACAAAAACCGGATGAGGTTTAAGTCATGACACTTGCTAAGCTAACTGGCTGCTAACGGAAGAGTTACCGTACAGACATGAGA